GGAAGAAATGAACAAGACGTGTAACCAATCAGTTATGGCTACTAATATATGTTAGATGGTTTTAAAGCTTGGATCGGCAAAAAGCTGAAACACAGGATGCTCTTAAGGTGATGATAGTTTCAGAAGCACAGAAGATTAAAAAGAAGGAAAAAAAGAAAACTTGTATAGTGAATGTGCATAAATAGGTTTCACTGAATTATCAAAAGGACAGAAATTAACAAAAGTGAGCGACTTTCCAAAGTGTAAATCGAAATTATTAAAATATATTAAACTGTTTGTACTAATCTTTCTTGTTGGGCCAATCCATCAACTTTAGCAACACATATACACTATGCTATATTCTTGAAAAGAATTGTTTTATTAAGAAACTTTTTGGGGAGTGGGAAGAGGGATATTATTAAATTATCAGGAGAACCCAAGTTAAGAACCTTTTTTGGTAGGACATTTAACAAAAGTTGGAGGTACTTTTAATACGGTTCAAACAAGACAACAGAATTTGCTGGGAAGCAATAAGAGTACTAAAACTCTTGCATTTGAAAAACAAAGCACGTGCGCCACCTCCTGGGTTACCAAACGTGGAGCACAGTTAATCACAGGGGTTCTGGCACCCCCGAGGTAAGAAACCAGCTCTCAGAGAGGCTGCCCTAAGGGCCAGGACATTCACTTGATCGCCGTCGTGGTTTATAGTTTAGGGCAGCACGGAGCAACAGTCCAAAACACCATTGTAATTCATTCCAGATAATGAGAAGCTTCATCTTCTCACGTTAGTATTTTCTATTCCTGATTTCTCTCCAGTTCTGAACTGAGGCAAAGTTGAAGCAAGAAAGTTTCACTTATTTCAGTATATAGAGGAAAAACCACCTTGGAGCTAAATACACCTTTCTGCTCCCCTCCTTGCAAAGTTCAGGTACGTGCTAAAGCAGTTCTGCTTTCTTTTCAGAGCTAAAGACAGAAGGTACAATTGACAGCCTCAGAGCGCTAGGAATAATTTGATTGAATATCATTTATTAGCTTTGAAGTTCATCTTAACAGGATTTAAATAGACACACTGCATGGGTTGAAAGAATCATTTATTTTAAGGAGAAGAAATTCTGATTTTTACAAAGTGTCTGAAGATGGCAAGACTTGAAAATATAAATACCAACCTTTAGAAAATTGTGTAATGAGGCTTGGCAGTAATAGGGGCATACATCCTAACATCAACTAAAGTCTGAGTAAAAATACAGTTAAAAAAAAGATTGTAGCCTTTTTTTTTCAAAGTGTTGGTCTCATTTTCCTTTCAATCAATGTTAAACATAATGTAATGCCAAAAAAAGGGAAAAAATAATCTAGTAGATGGAATCATTTCCTTAAGCGATGTTTCAAAAAAAAAAAAAGTTATCAAGTAACAGTCGACATAGCAGTAGTCTTAAAAGGTTTCTATATCTCTGTATAAAACTTTTTAACAAAAAGAGTGAAATGGCTGTTGTAGATAAATCATTTTTATACATTCAACTTCATATAGGTTTATGTACACATGCAGTATTGGATAGCAAAGCATTGTTTCCAGTAAATATTACAGTAATTCATACCTTGGTGGTATCAAGGACTCATCAGTTTTAATCGTTTCAGAATCATTTCAACACAATATGCTTGAGTCCATCTTACAAAGGACAGCTAGGATACAAATCCAGCCATTTAAACATCGAAATATATAATCCCCCTCCAAGGAGCGCAGGAGTAAGCATACCCTTCAAGGTTCGATGTGGCTCTGTGAAATTTAAATGGGGGAAGTACTCATTGAAGAGGGCTGTAATGAGAGGGTCATTACGAACAGTGTGGTTTGTTCAACTGTTTGACACCCTGGTAAACTTAGAGCAGGCTGAGCTGCTCAACTTGAAAGAGCAGAAGCTTCTCAGTCAGAAAGACAAGCCTGTGGACAGTGGCGAGTCCTCTCTGCCGTGTGGTAAGACAAAAAATCAACCAACCAACCAGCCAGCCAAAAATAAGGCAAGGCCTTTCACAGTAGGGCCAGCCATCTGCCTAAGGAATGGGGCTAACTCTCACTGCTCCTTGCAGTGCTTCACTCCCTGGGTATATAAGGAGAGATCAAAAGGAAGCAGCATATGCACATCTCAGTGGTTTCCACAGTGTATCTATCTCCTGGATGCCATGTTGTACTCCTTGAGCTACAGGTCTCAGTTTCATCTATCTGGAAAGCAGGCCGAGGTGGGAAGAGCATCCACATGTTTTCCACTGCTGAGATAGGGAGGGCAGTCTCGGGCTAGCTAGTCTCAGGCTATCACTTTCAGTGTGTCCCAAGTGAGGGGATGGGGAGGATGGAAAGCTGGCATTTGTGGGAAAAGAAGAAATATTTCCAAGTGGGAAGTGAAAGAGGTCCAGGAAATGCAGTCAGAGGCAAATACAGGCCTTCACACACAGGCAGGTTCAGGGACCATGGGCACAGTTTTGGCACTCATTCCCTCCCCTAGTGCTACCTTAATGCAGGTATTTTTAACCTGGAGTGTGGTGTGTTTCTAAAGCCTCACAAGCTGCTTGAATATAAGTCTATGAAAGAAAAACAAATCCATCTGTCACCAATGAAATCAAGTCTGGTCAAAATGCTCCATTTTGGATACAGGAGTCTTCTACCTTTTGGAAATTTTTTGGGGGGAAGGGGAGGGGAACTGGGTAATCAGAATCTAAAATCTAAAATTTCACAGCTAGTGACTTAGTAGAACAACAACTATTATCAGGTATGTTGATTTTAAATGAGTAATAAAAAATAAAGAAAAAAGACAATATTTAGTTAGGGCTACTTCCTTTACATGATGAGAATTACCTTCTGTGTTTCACCGCCTGGCTATCTTAAAAAAAAGTCTGCACTTGCATTTTATATTTTAATGTAAAACTTCCAGTGTTTCAAAAACTACCTAGCTCCTAATCTAGCCAAAATCTAGCTGTAGTGAAAAAAAAAATGTGAACAGAAAACATTCTTTTGTTGTATTACTGGACCGTATCTAATGTTAATGTGTTTTAAAATAACCTTGTTTTTGTTTATAAACAGATTATTGCTGGGGTGAAAAATAGCACTGTACACTTTGCTACATGGAGAGGGTACAATGACTATACAACAACATACTCATTCAGCAGATGTCTAATGACTCTACTTAAGAGATGCTTGCGCCCCTTAGTCACATGCGAGTGGATATGTGGAGCAGTAATGGGCACCTTAGACTAAGAGCACTTGCTTTCAAAACACTCAAACAAGAGAATCCTACCAAAGCAGCCAGGTGACAAGCTGACATGGGTACTACCCAGGTGTCTGAGCCTTGCACTGAAATTTTGGTAGACACTCAGCTACTGAGCACCTTGTTTCGCACAGCTGGCCAGCTTGGCTCACCCCAGTGCTGCTGTGAGGGCAAATCTTAACAGCAGCTTTTGCATTTGGGATCCATCCCATGCAGGGCGTTGGCTGAAGCCAGAGGCTGCCTTTCCCAGGAAATTCCTAGAGCCATTGCCAGCGCTCGGGATTACTTGGAAGCCTGGCCTAAGTCCTAATTAGGGTCTGGAAGTCAGGAAATCTGACTGGCTCAGAAGCTTGCTTGTATCCCACTGTCAATCTGTTTTCACTTCTCTGAACAGCACCAAGAATTTCAGCAGCCAGAAGTGAAGGATTTGTCAATCAGAGCAAAGTCTGACAGCAACTAATATCTTGGTAAATTGTACAGACTTTTATTTTTAAGGTTCAATCAGTTATGCTCTTATATTTTTAATGATGCAGAATTATGGATAGCTTGCTTGTTTCCCTTAATTTAATTCGACCTCAACAAGTTATTGTACCAACCCTCTTTATTATAGGAAATCCAAGGACAACAAACCAATCTAGTTGTTGAAAACATTAACAAAAATCAACATTTCAACAGTACAATCAATTCTGGATTATCAGAAAAAAATAAAAGGGCTATGATAAGCTACTATCATCATAACACAGGCCTTTGCTTATCTAAAAGGAAAAAGTTAGCATCCAAATGAGTCATCCTGTAGTGAAACACAATCACCTGATAACACTGTAAGTAGCTGACTGTAAGTAGCTGCACAGAATACTTTGACTTCACCACTTTGACTTCAGCCAACAAATAGTTAAATATCATTAAGTAATTGATATTTTAGCAAAGGACCCCAAAACAATTGCTTTATGATTACCCCTAGTTAACCTGCAGAACATCAAAACTAAAAAGTATTATGGTACATTGGCTTGATATGTTGCATTTAAGTGGTCCAACATACAAATGCTAAATATCAACCATTTCGCCTTAAAAACAACAATCTCTTGATCTAACTTGTTTTGAGAACCTGAAAAAAGGTATATAAAAATTCTTTATCTGTTTTCTTCAGCACTTATGAGACAAAAAGCATGAAAAGATTTCCAGCACCCGTGACAGCGCAGTGGGATAGAACTAACATATTCCCATGCTTGAGTTAAAGCTTAAACTAGTTGAACTCAAATGTCAGTGCTCTGAATCCCTTATGATTGGAACTGATAGTGTGAGTTATCTAAGAAGCAACATCCAACGAAACATGGCTTTGTGACATCTTCATGGTACGTGATATGATGTTCACATTAGGAGAATGGTAGTTCTGCAACAAATGTATACAAGCAACGGGAGGCACTGTGATAGCAGGATCCTGTGATAGGAGCATCCTGTCTTCCATAATAAATAGAGAATATTTTCTAATCTTTACCCAAAGCTCTGTTCTTTAAGGCATGGTTTACTGTCCTCTCTGAGGTTAGTTAATAGGAGTATAAAATACCTCACAGCACTCTCCTTTAAAAAAATATCAGGGAAAGACGTTGCTAATAAGACATGCTTGGTAACATTGTGGTTTATCATTACATTTCATCTTTCATAGAAAAATGCTCAAGAGCATTATTTTTCTTAATGTGCTGTAGGCTAAAAATGAACCCTCAAGGGTTTCTATTGCTCTTCTTGTTGCCAGAGCAACAAAGCAATACTCACCTGAATATCTGCCATGGTAAGTATCAGTTTACAAGCCAAAGTGAAGTTTGTACTGCTAGCAGATGTCGCTAGCAGCATTTTTACTATAAGCCAAATTGTCATGGCAAGGGATGCCATGAAGACTCAAGAATATATTACTGTTTCGTTTGTGCTACTCGATTATTGCTCATATAATTCAAGTATTTCTGTTAAAATGTCTTGACCAATGACATTCAAATGAAAGGGTAAAACTGAAAGATATTTATATGAAATCTAGTGCATTGAAAAGAGTCCATTAAATGACCTGGAAGAAATCCAGCTTGTCACTAGGAAATATAACAGGAACCTTTTCCCATAAATTCTGTCCTAGAACTCTTTCTGATAAGAAGATAGAATGGAGGAGAGGGAAAACGCTACCAAATATTTCAACAGTATACAACTGTTATTACTTTCTCAGTGGAAGAAAAAAAAATTATCACTTTTTACCAGTGTATCTGTCCAAACCCTGATGATGGATTTGGGTTTAAAATGGATGACAAAAGCATTACTTACATTACTATACTACAGAAAAATGAATGCAACTTTGAAATGGTTTGTTGTGTGTCAAACCAAACCCGGGAGGACTACATGGAACTGAATCACAGAATTGGAAACAACACTTTTTCTTTGCAAAGCAAAGCCTATTGCTTTGCGAAAAACCTTGAAGGAAATTTTTTTAATGTTTGGACACAATGCTGACAACCCATTTCAACAAGTACAGGCCACCAGTTATAATGAGGAGTGAGCACCCACATTACCAGCTGAAGTGAACAGGAGGCAGTGAGTGCTCTGCATATCTGACGATCCCTCGCTGCATTTTATTATCACTTCATACAAATGAGAAAACATTCAAAAGGTAAAGTTGCATCATCGGGTGAAAATACCACTATGTGAAGGACACGTCTATCCTCAGTTCACCTGAGAAAACTCTCAGAACTGCAGTCTTCCTCCCCTCCCCACATTAGGATTAAAAAAAAAATCAAGTGAATCTCAGAATGAGTGATGTAATAACAGGAGAAAAAGAAAAGTAGGTTTACAGTGATAAATAACAGTGTTATAGAATACTAAAAATTCTAATCATAAAGATATTAAAATAAAGACATATGGAAAATACAGGGGAAAAACACTTAGGCTATATAGTTGCTAACAGTCCTTGAATTAATTGTTTTTCTCCCCTTAAGTACTGAAAGGCGGGGAAAGGAGGAAAACTCAAAAATTTCCTCCCGTTTCTAACTCCTAATTACCAGAAACAACATTTCCTGATGTTTGATCAAAACACCAGTAATTCCACTCTGTCCAGCCAAGCAATCTGAAAGTGTGGGAATTAAAAAGGAAAGAGTAACAAAAACATTTTTAACAGGCACTTCCAGTTATGAAGTGAAATGCACATGTTTGTTTAAAAAAATAGTGCTTTATTTTCATACATAAAATATGCACCTCTTTAAAAGTACCATTCTTGAAAAATAAATCTTTGGGATCTCATGCAAAGTCAGAAGCAGAGGCAGTGTGAATCGGAAGGAGGTCTGGTATTCTGAGCTCAACTGCCTGTTTGGTTACCCATGCAGATGGGTAACCTGCTCTGCCACTGAAATGCAAATGATTTTTTTTCAGTTATTTTTAAAGAGATAACTCATGAGTTTTGGGTGTGAAAATATAGTAGTTATCACCGGGCTTCTCAACCTTGCATTGCTTATCTTTCAAATTCGCTATTAAGCAGTTTTAGAAAAGCAATGGAGGTCATGCAACCCTGACTGACTAGATACAAGAAAATATGCTCAGTCTGAAAAGAAAATGCTCTGTTTTCATCTCATTAAGATCTGTGTTTGCACAAACCAGGTCGGCTCAAATATATTCCTTCCTGCTCTCTCCCACTATTGTTTTGAGTCTTAGGTTTGTTTTCAGACAGCACTCCTGAACAGTCAGTACAAACACTTCTCACTTGACGGACACACCAGTGAAGTCAAGCTAAAAACCTCCATGTGCTGCTCAAGTTTAAAAACAAACCAGCCTTAAGGTTTTCACTTCACAGTTTATCCACGGACAGGTACTTTATCCCTTGCTCTTTCAGGTTGCTGGACTCAGCAAAAAAAAAATCAGTTGTCTTTCTCGTTTTTATTATACTATCACCGGAAATACCAAAAGAGGTGGTAAAACAGACTTCAAAAAACAAATAAACAACAAAAAAAGCCACTTGGGGGAAAACTGAGAGGCTTTTTTGTTCACTGAAATGTAAAGTAATGAAACATTTGTTTGATAAAACCAACTACTTAGAAGCCAAGGAGTTACACTTTGTTGTATGGAATTTCCTGTGTTTTGAGACCAGTTCTAAGTCACATGCTTGCCAGTGGTAAGCATCCTTGTAAGCTGAGAGGTAGTCTTGTTTTACACTAAGGCTGAACAAGTTTGTTTCCCTGTTTCCCCCTCCTCAAACTCTGTTGGAATGATGGTCAGGAACGGAGACCCTCTCAAGCGGTAGCCATCATCTTGAGAGGGGAGGGGAAAAAAATCAACATTCTGACCTTTCCCCCTCCCTTGCAGCATGTGCACAGTTTCAAAATGAACTCATAGAAACAAAAAGCTGTGTTAATTTGATTACAAAGATAAATTATTTAAAAATATGTGTTCTTCTCTTTCTACATTCAAGGCTTGATTAGTTAGAAATTTCTGACAGCTTTTTTTTGTGAAAGGAGGCATAATTTTGTTCAGATAATTTTGTTCAGATAGTGGAAGAACATCATGGTGTGTGTTTTGTTCTTTTCCTTTTTTTAAAAAAAAAGGAAGGTACTAATGAGGGCATAAAGGCTCATTGTACTATAGTAGCAAATCCAGTAGAGCAGCACTTAAGAGGTGGTTAATAGTGCTTTGGTTCAGAATCAGTGTTAGAAAATAAAGCTTAAAAATCATGACGCAGGGTATCTGGAGGGATTTCAACAGCAATCTGTAATGGACGTAGAAAGGACTGAGGCGTTGGCTTCTTCTCCTTGGCAAAGTACTTTATTCTCCATTGTGTTTAAGTTCCAGGTTTGATGATCAAGTTTCTCATTTCCATCGATGACGCACTAAGGAGGATTCGTCATTGACCACATCATTGTCAGTGTAGCGGTGCTGACACCGCGGTGGGATAAGCAGTAGGATGATCAGTACCAGGAGGATAATTCCACACAAGCTCATGAGAGCGTAGGAGGCAATCCACAACACTGGTTCGTGGAAAGAAACGCTAGAAACACAGTTGCTTGCAACATCCGTGGTTGTGAAAGGGCCTTCAATCTCAGATACTGGAGAGCCATCAACTTCTGAGGAAGCGCATGAAGAGAGACATTAAGTTCATACATACCATATAAAAGCCAATGAAAACAATTTAGGCTAGATATATCCCACTCCCCTCCATCATCAAACATCTTAACATACTTTTTTTTTTAATGTATTTCACGCTGCAATAAAAATAATAGTATCACGTGTTTATAAAATGAGAACCTGAGGTGTAGAGAAACCATGATACTCCTGCATTTGTACAGACTGTCAGTAGGAAAGCAGAAATGTATCTATCTCAAGTGTCCTACAACACAAGTTAAAGTCAAAGCCACTAGATCACCTTCTGTTTTGGGAATAACTTTCAGAAATGACCGTTTAACAAGACTTGAAAAATTTACAATACCAACCCGCTGTGGTACTTCAAGGCCTGCGGCGTTCTGACTTTCGCAACAACTAGAAAAGCACATCAGACGATTTTTACATCTACTGTAGCTGCTACCTCCCAAGATCGGCCTCAGGGAGCAACATGTAGGCTTGTTAGCTTCCAGATACCTCAATGAACAGCACCTTGGGCAGAGTGGAAAGGAGGAAGGGTGCTCTTGCAAGAGGGACTGCTGCGGTGAGAGAAAGAAGATGAGATGAAGTAGGAGAGCCAGGTGATGGGCTTACAGAAAAGGGTAGTGGTGGGGATGAAGGTCAATGGCAGCAGTGAGATGCTAGGACACAAAGGAGCAGCACTATGGGGTGGGGAGGGAGAAGTTAAATGAGCAGCTCAGAAAAAAAAAAAAAAAAAAGGGAGGTTACAGAGCTAAAGCAATAAGTAAGGGAAGGTGCCTGGGCAGCTCTGCTTGGAACAGCCACCTGCCTTTGGTAACATCTGACTCTGCGACCTGCTTCATTGCCACCACAAACCCCTACTTTAGTTCAACATGCTCTGCTGAAAAAGGGCCGAGCAGCCACGGCAAGCACAGCAAAGTCCTCAGAGTTGTGGACAGGCCACGTGTGCTGGAAAGGACAGGTGGGCTGCCTAAGGCAACAAAATGTTCAGACCTTTCCCTATCTGCAGCACTGGGACTCTGGTGGGGGAAGGGTGGGAATCTTCTAGCTCGCCTGCGGCGACTAGCTTAGTACTGTTTGTGCATTTTAACAAATATTCTTCCAAACAGCTATTATTTACTTCCCTAGTCAAATATGCCAGGGCACATTTGTGTATTTCTTACAGAAGGCCTCGGTTTTACTCTTTCTTTCATGTTATGCACAGTTCATTTTAAACACACACACACGCATTCTTGCCAAATGGTAAGTGATGCTGCCTTACTGAAAACAGTATCTCTTATTTACACATAACTTAGACAAGACTCCTGAAAAAACATTTAAAGAGATGCACAAAGTTTATTTCCTTGATGCAGGAGGGTAGTTACGGTTTTTGGAAGGCAGGAAGGAGGCCTTTAATATTTTCTGCAGGGAGACAAATGCAGAATAGGCAAGGTGATTTATTTAAAGTTTGTTTGGAAAGGTTTTAGTTGGTGTTTATTTTCTGGCATCCTTGTTTCATGACCGCATATTATTTAAAGTTTAAGTCTTAGTAGACTTAACTTAATCATGGGCTGCCACTACAAGAAGCAGTTCTGCTCTGCTTCACTGCCTCTTGCATTGGTTCGAGTGACGGTGGGCTGCAGGAGCAGCTCGCTGATCTGATGGAAAACTAACCTGTCAAAACAAACAAATGCCCAAACAAAGAATTCTGTTTAATCACTCACTGAACCAACTCACCCTGCACTTAGCTGCTAATGTAGGAACACTTTTCCCAGCAGCAACAGACCCTTAGGGTGGTCTGGACGAAGCCTGGGATTACGTTGCAATTATTCTAGCACCGGTGAATAAAAATCACATCTTCTTTCAGCTTGTTGGATTGCACTGAGCTGGCCCAGGCTCAGGCTGTATCAGCAGATCTTTGCAAAAGACACTGCCGTTACAGAGAGCTGGAAAGCGAGCTGCACAGCAGTGGTCAGAGGAGTGAAAGACTACCTAGCAGGCCTGTGGCAGAGACAAAAAACCCACACCCTTTTGTTCAGAGTCCCAGTAGTGCGTTTTGTCTTGTGTGCAATTATTTCCCCTGGAAATCTTCCCTCCACTACCTACACTATTTCTTCTGTCTCTGGGAAGCCCTGCAGCAAAAACAAACTAAAGTGCATTTAACACTAATGCAAAGTGCAAGGCATAAATATTGCTACTTAGGAATTCAGTATTTTGAAAAAGTGAAAAAAAAAAAGCCACAGAAATTCCTTTCTTGCAGATAGCTTTGAAAATAAACAGTCCCTAATTACTCAGTATTTGGCTCGAGTACAATAATTACTCCCATTAAAAAGGCAATACAAAATTGTTGCCAGAGTGGCTGACATTTTAAATTACATTTTCAGAATACTTGACAGCAGCATAGCCTCTGCTTTCTTCCTTCCAAAAATAAAGCTTTTCCCTCACCCTCCTCCACCCTCCAGAGAATTTGCAAGGAAATAGATGGGAAATTTACTTACATTGTTCAAATAAAGCTTTAACAAACTAACAGTCACACATTTAGATTATTGCACATAAGATGAATTGAGGTATTTTGCCTTTTGTTTTAATTAGATCATCTTGTAGTAGCTACCTACAATGAAATTTTGACCTTGAACAAATGGACTTATCTTCATTATTGATGACCACAAGACAAAAGATGGCACTTCTGGAAAAGTAGAAGGTCAAAGTTGGAAAGACCAAACACATGCCCATTCACTACTCCGGGTGGTTTGAAAAGGAAGCAATCAAGTTGGATCAAATTTATCAAACTGCTGTTTGGCAGGGACTCTGGAGGTCACCTAGGTCCACCTTCTACTCAGAGTAGAACCATCACCAAGAGTCACCTGTGGCTTTGTCCAGCCAAGTCTTGTGAACACCCATTGTCTTCAGTTTAGTGCCCATAAATTTGCTGAGATCATATTTTTGTTCAAAAGATTTTGCAGAAATGATTTATGATAACAATGCTCAACACTTTTCTTCCCTGAAAATCACACGAGTCTTAATCCTATCATCTTCTCACCTACTATAAAATTATAAGGGGTATAATTCCTTTCAATGTTGAGGTACCATTAGGTTGTGTGTCTAATATTAAGGTGATCTGAACATCTAATCTTAAGTAGGGACTTAATCCAAAACTTTCTCAGGCATCCTGTAAATAGATTATATCTGAAATTATTGCAACAGGCAATCTGAAACAATTTGAAATTAGCAACAAGCAAAACAAGTTTTAAAAGGCTTGAACTATCAATGAAAACCAAATTTCTTTTCTTGCAACCAGTGAATCTAACTCTCCTGCTCTTTGTTCTTGGTATGTGCTGGGGAACTAAAATGGTGCAAGGAGGATTGTAGAGATAAATTATTTCTTATGTCTAGTCAAGTCTCCATAGAAACTTGCGGTTCAATGAAGCTAAGGGTTTGCTCCTGTTCCTGCCATTTTTGCATTAAGTCCTTACTTAACATAAAAGCCTAGGCTTAAATTCAGCTTTAACACTCTATTGTAAACAAGCAAGCACAAGTCATTGTGACAGAGAAGCACTTTTTTTTTTCACATTTCTCTATTTCTGAAGATTTATGTCACTAGTAATTTAATTTAATTTAAGCCCACCAACAGACTAAAAAGGCCCAAATAAATTTCATTAATATAATTGCTATGGAAGACATGACTGGTCTCCACAGGAAGCCAGTTAGGCAGCTTAATCCTTCACACTGCTAACTGCTCACAGTTGTGGTTTTCTGATGAAAGTAATGTTAAATATGCAAACCACAAGCTGTGAAGAAGGGAATGCAGAATAAATGGCACATCCAGCAAAATGTCATCTGCCCTAGGTGAATAAAGCCTGACAAATCAGTATAACATCTTGTCTCAGTGTCTTAAATTATCTGATTTCTCAAGAAGCTTCTCGGGTTCCCACCATATTAAGTTAGACATATGCGTAAAACATGGACAAAGAAACAAGAAGAAAGTGTCTTCTAGCACCAGCTGGGAATTATGATGTGTCCAAGGTAAGGTAAATGCAGATTTCTTTTCTAGCAAGCCCAGTTCTTCCTCTCTGGAAGAATGTTGTCTACACTGGAAGAATGTTCTACATGAAGTGGCCAAACTCTAGGCTTCTATATAGTGATATTACCAGTAAGGTGTCATTATGGTCTCCTGACTTTTTCTCAACAAAGACATGCTTTCAGAAAACTTCTCATCAGCATCAGCTGGAGCGAGTCCCCTGTTGACCATGTCAGTCACTGAGTTGGGTCAAGGCAACCCACCTTCTCCATCAATGTCTGCAAGGGGCAGGAGGCAGCTCTAAGCTTGCTAAAATTGCAGTCAGGAGGCAAGAATGACAGGCAGGGAAACCTGTTTTGCATTATTTGTCAAGTTACACTCTGTCCTTCCAGAAGCACTCAAAATGTGCCTTTCATCACTGCAGGGCATCTTACAGAGGCCTTCATTAAGCAACCCACATCCATATCAAGACTTTTTTTTGTTCTTAGAAAGCTCAAAGATGACAATTCTGAACCTGTTAACAATGGAGGGATTTTTTATTTTTTTATTTTAAAAGGCTTTTAAAAATGTCCTGGGGCTACAACTGAGCAAACTAGTATCTCTCGCCTTATGGTCAATAACCTAGTTGCATTAAGCACTCAAGTACTCACTACCCTCACCTCCTACAACATAAATACTGGGGATTAAAGAAGCATTGTCAATCTGGCTCTTTTTCTCATGGGAAGACTCTGTTTCTACAATGTTTTCCAGGGCAGAGAACACTTTTCCATTTGGGACAGAGACTTGCACATGGGTACATCACCTCTTCTCCACTCCTATTTGGATTTCAAAATGTTCTTGTGATGCCATAGCCATGAACCATCATCAAGGGAACAAAAGCTCCAAACTTTTATTTGTTTTTAGCTTTCCTTGGTGAAAGAAGCCATGTCATGGAAAAGCAAGACAGTTAACCAGCACTGTTAAAATCAGCTTGTCCCTGAGAGGCCACAGTCCTTGTTTAATTCGCAGGACTCTGGCAGACCACATATTTGATTGCTATTTCCTAACCAGCAATATGCAAGCCTGACAGAGACGAGGTGGATTCAGTACAGAGTCTTCCTCCCTGGCCATAAAATTTGTGTTTTCCCAGACACATTTCTCTTCCCAACCTGACATCCTGTATCGAGGATTCCCCAAAACTTTCCGCATTTCAGTTTTTCAGCCCTTTCTGTCAGACACTAATGCACAAATACAGTAGCTCTGATTAGCCTGTCTCTTACTGGCAACTCCAGACTTTCACAGAGATCAACTGCACAATGTGAATATTTCGAGTTTGACACAAATGGATGAGGAATCATTGGATTAGGTGATGGAAGCTCCTGCTACTGATTACCAATGGCCCTTCCTTGCTAACCACTTCTCATACCAAAAATTATCAATTCTTTTTTTCACATTTCTTGAGCAGCCAATCAAAAGGATAATGGCTTTTCTACTTACACTGAAAAGACTACTAGTTTAGAAAACACAAAAACATTGCAAGTCTAAATTCAAAGGATGATTTTCATCATCCCTGTTTTTTTTGTTTTGAATATTTCTGAAAGGCCGAGAAGGGATAATTTACATTTAGAGGAAAGCTTTAGCCTAGTATTTCACTGCACATTTCAAAAGTCAGTTGAAGAATTTATTCATCTGAGAACCAGAACAGAATTACACAAGTGAAGCTGCAGTAAAACAGGGGCATTCCTATAACCCTCTTGGGGAGAATGCACACACAGGCAGACATCTCAGAGGGAAGACATTCTCCCAGAGAAACAATGTAGCTAAAATTTCCACAGTTAAGGCTGATTTATACCAAAAGGTAGTAGAGTATCCCCTTGAAGTGTGAAGAGTTTGGGATTGCTCACAAATACCTTAGCACTTCATTAATAAGCACATTTTTCCTATCAGATAAGTGACAAAATAGTTCTTCTGAGGGTGGCAGGTGTTTCCTGAGGCACCAGCGCAGGACAGTATTTCTCTTACCTGCACATGGACTCACTGCGAAGCCCACTCTCTTCTGAGCTCTGTCAAATATCACATAGAAGCCTTCCATGACGGTAGCACCAATAACTAGGGCATTTGTGGAGGAAGAGATCCCAAACCGGTAGCACTGTAGATTCTCCCCAATTCCAAGAATGGGTTGAATATAAAGCTATTAATTAAAAAAAAGGAAGCCAGAGAGTAAGCAGCAGCAAAATACAGTAGTTAGAAGATAACAGTTCAGAAAGACTTCCAAACTTATGATTTTTATATTTAATTACTCAAATTCTACATAAACAATGAATAGGGGCAAACAGACTTTCAAACGTTATTTTAAACTGGTCAAAGTTTAAGTGCAGGTAAAAGCTCAGGGAGCCTTAAATTTGAACCCAATCAGTTGCTATGTAAAGGTCACTTTCAGTTTCATGAAAGTCATTTTTTACTGCATATTCCATAAAGGAAGGAAGATAAGGAAGGGCTTTGAATGTGAACACAAGTTACAGAAATATTAAAAAAAAATCAGGATACAATGGATGCAGAGAACATTCAGTATCATCTTCAAGGCTCTAGGTTCATAAATTCAAGTCACATTTTACCCCTTTTCTCCTCATAGAAGAAGAAAGGTTGAGAACTACATGATCAATACAGAAAAAGCTTATCATAAGGCTGTACTATATTTCAAGTTAAAATGTACTTAAGAGGTTCATGCTCTACTCCGCTCCTGCCCTGAGGTAAAAGATTGTAATAGGTTGCCTGTATTGAAACCTACATTGGGGGAAAAAAAGCACCAAAAAGCAGAAATGAAAATAGCACATTATATTATAAAAGCTGGGGTGGAATTTTAATAAAAGAAAAAAAAACCCAGCAAGTTATAGAGGCTGGTGAAGAGCCCAAACAGCCTCATTGCCAAGAGTGTCATTTTCAGGAAAAGTGCTCCAATTCGCAGTACCATGAAAACAAAACAATTTGCTTCCCAACATGAGAAGAGCAAAATGAGCAGAGACACTGTGTATCAACATCTCATATAGCTAAATCTTCAAGAAAAACAAAAACAGTTTTTCCTGATAGTCTGAAGAATTCATTCAGCACTACACATATTGCACTTAAATGAGATTCTGTTTTTCTTTTTGCTTTCAGGTGTCAGGACATTTTTAGCACACAAGTTTCTTTGCTATTTTTCCTGTGCAAAGATGGATCATTAAACTTTTTCAGACTTCACATCCAGACATAAGCCAATTCTCTATTATTGCTTAAAATAGCTCCTATTTTGTAAGAGCATAGTAAAAATAAACACATAACTGAAAAAAAACAAAGAAAGTTGAGACCTGTGGAAGGATAGAAATCCGAAACGACCTGCTGGCATTTTCATCCCTCAGGTAAATGGAGAGTTTGGGAAATAAGGACCATGGTCTTTCACTTCTATCCCAGCATGCAAGCTGTGAACCAGTCCAGAAACCAGAAGAGAATTCTTGTATCTATGAAAAAACATGGTACATAAAGATTACATGCATTTTGATAGGTTTTTGTATATGATCACTGACCATATTTGCTACTTTTGCTTCCCATAGAGAAATTCAGGTGCGAATATGAGCCTGACAAAGACTTTTTTGTTGATAAAAGCAAAAACTCCAAACCCAAATCAGTGTGCATGATAACCCATTATGAGTTGGAAGAAGGAGGAAGAGGTAAAAGTTGACTAACAAGTTTCAGCTCTCCCCTCCCCAGGTAACAAGGGGAGTAATGGGGAAGTAATGAGACAGAAATCTGTCTCAGAAATTTCCCAATAAACCTGTATGACCTTCTTGAGCTAACATTACAGCTAGGGCTAGGCCCTATCTCTTCTCTAAACAGCTATGACCAAACATCAACATTTTTAAAGAAGCAGAAAGTTTAGAAACATGGAATGAGATATGAACCACATGAACATTTAACAGTCACATTAATGGTTCCTCAGTCAACGTTAGGGTTTTGACGATAAGGCTTAAGCCAAAAGCTTCTGGAGGCTGCTACCAGGGTCTGCTACCATCAGCGGAAAGGAGCAGTGGAAAGAAGCACCCACTTATGACTCTTGCTGCATTGCCACTCACTGCCAGTATAACTTGATGTGCTTTGGAAATAAAGTTGATTAACAATGTTCTTAGGATATCCATGGCACTAACAATACACACAATAAACCCCTGCAGAGGTTCTTTACCTAAGACAAACATCCTGTCTTATGCTCACACTCCCTGAAGAACACAAAGTTGATGTGCTGCCAGGTTGGAGGAACACACTTCCTTATTCAAGTGCAATATTTGTGCTGGTTCCTATTTCCATGTGAAGCTACATACAGGGCAGTACTTTGTTCTGACATTATAGAGCCAAAATACCCCATTTTGGTGAAAAATAAGGAATCCAGCCCCTCTACTCCTCTCATGTACATTTAATTATGATATTTTGTAAACATCTGCTCATAAATTAGTTACATGTAAGGCTGCACAGCATTACAGGTTTGGTACTTCAGGATGCTAATCTCCGTTCTTGGGCCAACACGCATACACGTGTTTAAACATACAGTACAGCTCTGGGACAGACTGCTTTTATGCTTAATTCTAAACGCATAATGGAAGTACACCTCTTGGCATGGGACTGAGCGCTCGGTCGCTCAGGACTGAATCCCAGGTCAGAGCTGCTGAAAATCGTAGTCCTTCTCTCTTCTTGGAAAGCAGAGCTTGCAATTTGAGAAGAGCTGCAAGATGGCAGCCAGGCTAGGCTGGCAAAGACAGGGGAGTGCTCTACTTTAAATACCTGCTTTGATTTCCAAGAAAGACTCTTTATTACGTTGCATTTCTTCACCTTACTTTTGTAACCCAAACAAAAGTGTGTGCGCTTTATGCTACCTAAAACTTTATTAAAAGAGATTTTAGGTCTATATGAGACTTTCCTTCTCCAGCTATGCCTACTAATGCTTATTACTCCAACAGCACTTACTAACGTAGCATTAATTTAATGCTGTGCATACAGACACTGCTCTGATTTCACCTCAAGGTGTTGTAGCTGCTACCCCACTATGGCTCATCTCTGCCCACCTGTCAAAATCATCATTCTTCAGACCTGTCAACATCAAACAAGATCAAAACTGCACCTAAACCTGCTCCCGAACAGACTTCCATCCAAATCAATTGGATTAGAAAACAAAATGAAACAAACAAAAAAGCAGCACTATTAATAAAGCTCAGAGCCTTTTTTAAAGGCTTTTTTTCTTTAGATAGTGTGTTAGAGGAGCACTACATCTGCAGTTGTGCCAATACACCTGTGGGGGCAATAACATCTTGCTGGGAAGCTCATAATGAGCAACTGAGAGCAGGAACTTGTTAACCTTGTTCTGCTGCGTCAGAGAAGTACGTCTGACCGCAGCCTGATGATTTTAAGCTGCAATGATGCATAGCCTGGCAGAAGTACAGAGTGCTGAGAGTGTCACTGTACTGCCGTAGCACAACTGCTGAAAACAGCCTTTTTTCCAGACATCACTCTTACAGTGTCAGAATCAAATCCTTACATCCTTTCAGTGAACTACTTTCTTATTTAGTTGAATATCAATATTTCTTAGAGGTGTGTAAATTAAATTCTGGTGTGTGTGGAGGGGAAAGGAGTACAACAGCAAGGTCTTGCAGATTAAAAAAAAAACTAAAATAGAAAAGTTAGTTTATGCATTTTTAATAGGAAGAGCAAAAATCATTAAGCAGAATGGGTGAGTGCTTCCTATCTAGTATCTTACTGATTGGTGGACTGACTGCTTACTTGACATATGGAAGGCCCTAGTTCAGATGTCTACCTGACCAAAACCAGACAGGAGCTTGGACTGCTGTGACCCACTTCATAAGAGAACGCACATTACAGGAGCTCCTGGTTAAGCTTCTTTCATTTCTCCTCCTGCCACCAACTGGAATTGATACTGAAGTGCTTTACAAAGAACAGAACTTTTCAACCAGCCAAATTGAATAAGGTAACTGGTGTTCTTATTTCAGATATTGGACGTCTGCAGGTTGTAAAGAGCACCTCATGCTGCCCCTCTGCTCTCCGTCAGGTAAGGAAAGGATTAAGTCTTGATCTACAAGTGTACAGGCAAATACTCTGCTTTTTGGGCAACCAGCCAATAGCCCAGTTACTGCTGTCTCCTGTGGTTTGTAAAAACTACCACAGTCCATTTGTGAAGTCATGACAAAACTATTAGAACTGTTCTTGTTGAATTATCTAGGATTTATTTTTCATCTTCACCTTTCTCAATGCTGCTCATTGCATTCAATCAAGATTTATGAGCAGTTGTTGTAACCTAGAAAATCTAACGTCAGCTAAACTGCACACAGAGAAATGCACTATCCCCATGCCCTATTTCTGAAACCCACTCTGTTTCCAAAGAAAGAAGCTTTTAAACATAAATAATTCAATAATGAAGGCCGAAAGAAGCTTTATTGATATGAATAATCCTAATGAATGGCATGCATTCTATGTAACAATAAGCGTTTTATCCGGAAAGTAACTGCTTGCAGTATCAGGTTTACTCAGTTTTGAATTAAAGGGCTGAATTTTGCATTCTAAACACTTTGAATTGAAGAGATAGGGATCATGTCTGTATTTCTGAAACACTTAAAACAAAATACTCAATTTCTACACTGTTTTTGACCCATTTTCATACAGCTTGCTCTTGTCTATATATGACCCTCCCTTCTACCACCTCTTCCCTTTTCTACTTCCACCAAAGACAATCAGTCAGTTCTTAGTAACAGGGGTAGATGTGGAAAAACTCAGTCCTCCTCAGATCAAAACCCTATAACTTAGAAAGTGGGCAGCAAAGATGACCCTCCTTTTCAAAGATCATGTGATCATGTAATAGAAATTTAAGATTTCAAGCAAGTTTAATCACAGCTTACCAGGGACGTGTGAACTATGGCTTGCACAACAGCGCTGAAGACTTTCTGGGGCAGCCGAAGGAGGGTGGTACCACTGTCTACTATTGCCTTATCTGCATTATACTGAGAGGGGGAGAAAAAATGAGAGAAATTATACACACAGTAGTTAATATAATGCAGCTTGAACTGTTTCACGACAGTGGCCAGGCTGCTCCTTTTCAGCAGCAGTCTTCACAATGGTGCACTACTTGGAGGAACTCTCAGTTGCTTAAATTCAAATGAAATCCAAGAGCTAAAGAAAGACACAGTCTGGACAAATGAGTGAGCTTATCTGCATACTCAAGAAATTACAGCGTGTCACTAGAGCTACTGAAAACACCAGGCTCACACATTCTCAACCTCTTGTAAAAGGAAGAAAAGCATGGCCTCCCTCAGAGGTGAAGCTAATCCTCCTTACCTCATATACACCTTGGGCAAAAAGTACTCTCATGGTCAGTGGAACATGCATTAAGTCCACTGATGTAGCTTACAGGTATGTCCAAGTCCTGAACCAAAGCCTCTGCTATGAGAATGACTTGCTCTGCTTTAAATATAATAGAGCAGCCTGCTTATAGCAACTGAAGTATATGTTAAAAAAAAAGTTAGCAACATTAGCCCTTACTATATGTCATATTTGGCACTGACTCAGAGTACAAATATCAAATGCCACACCTTTCTCTCTCTGCTTCTATAAGCCACCAAAATACAGGCAAAGGCACCTGTAAAGAAATTGGCCAATCTAAATGTTGCTGCCTCAAAATCTGTACTAAAAATAAAGAAAAACACCCTACCCCACTATAGACACTTTTCGTTATTAAAATTCTGCGCCTCAGACTAAGAGATATCTTTGAATTTCTGGTACATTTTATAAAGAATAAAAATTTTACAAGGCAAATATTTTTTCAAGAATACTTTAAAAACAATGACTAATTGTAAAGGCAAGTAGCCATGGCAGCTGTTTGCATTAACTGCTTTTGTTATCAGCTTAGGTAGCAAGATCAATATAACTCAACAATGACATGCTTATGGCATAATCAAAAGAAACAAGGAAACATATAGCATAAACTTATTAAGAAAAGGTCAATTTAGTATCTATCAGTTTAGACGTTATTAGATCATATGGAGTATCTTTAGTGCAACAAAAATAAAAGCAGAGAAGTAACTCTGACAGTTATTTTCTTTTTGAAAGAAGCCATGTTGTAGCACTGCTGAAAGAGGTGTGAATTGGACAAGCACTGCTAGGAAACACCTACTGTTTACTGTACACTCAGAAATATTTCTAAAGAGTGCAGAGAAATATCAAGGCATTGTGGCCCCATCACTTTTATTTTTTGTTAAAGAATTTGTAAACAGAATCCAGTTTTAATATGCCATAAATACACAATCACCAGCATCCCTGAGAAGCAACTTTGGAAAAAATACAGGTAGAAGGCAAAGCCAAGAGGACCACACATTAACATAGTAACCATACACAATTTCTGGAGTAGCAGTACCACTCAGTGATTAAATGCAGCTAATTTTTCATGTCGTGTACAGTAACTTCTTGCCTTCTGAGTGTTCCTGGTTAATATTTAACAGTACCCTTGTGCAGTGTGCAGTATTGGCAGCTCAACGCTTCTCTCAGCCCTGGTCTGACAGAATCAAGGCCACAGCTTCAGTGTAATACTGGACAAATTCCCAGCACTGACGTTTTTCCCTTCCAAAGAAAGAGGTAGTCTCTGGTCACTGCAACAAAAAAAAACCCTTTCCATTTGCTCAAAGATTATTAAGAAAAGAGAGAGTGAACAGTTCAGAGTTCTGTATAGTGAACTAGCACCCACTGCTCTTCTGCTACACTTTTGTTGGAAGATCTCTGCTTAGGAAAGCAATGAGGCCTTGCGTACCATTGACTAGCGCCCTATGCTAATACATTATTGTGTTTTTTTTTGAAATAGCAAGTATTTAACCATTATTATCACGACTCGTCTTCAAAATATGTTGACTTTTTTAACGCAAGAAAGAAAAGCAAACACAAACATTTATGCCAGAGGCCTATCAGTAGGTTGTGCTTTCTGAATACTATAATGAAGGCAGAAATAGCTATTTAAATAGACTACATTTTGCTTATTAAACACAAAGAGGAGATGAATGATTTTAAATATTTTATATGGAAATATGATGTCCATATTTTGTATGGAAATATAATACTTATGCATATGTAGGATTTTATCATTAATTTCACTCAGTCTGTACGAACTTTAAAAACTTCAGAATTATCATGCTGCACAGATTTCCAACTACAAAAACCAGCATAAGATATTTTAAGATGTCTATTGCAAACAAGGCATGAAAATTACAGCATTAAAACTGAAACATGAATAGTAGGGAGAAATAGTAAAACAAACAAAACACATACATATACACATATCCTTCAGAAAAAAAAAGTTTGGCAATAAAAATAATTAACAGCACAGTTTCACTAGACTGATCCAGGGATAACAGAACATTAATAAACACATCCATGAAGAATAATACTTAGCAAGATAGAAAAGAGCAAAAATGGATTGCCAAAGAAAAGAAGGATGGAATGGGAAGCTTCAGGAAGCTCCCCTGATAGGCACCTGCCAAAAGCCATCATGAATTAAGTGCTTAGAAATATCCATGCATTTTATCCCCAAACCTTCCCTTCTCTTGGTTAAACAAATATTGTTCCACATTCAGTCAATTTTACTTTGTAACAGACGGTCATAAGTTGTATTTATTTGAAGACTGCTCTCTCACTGAAGGAATGTACAACCTTCAGCGTACGGAGAGCTTTGTTACAACACACACTGGTCTAGATGGTGAGTTCCTCCAGACCACAACACTCCCATTCTCAGTGGACTGCTCCCTTAGTTTCAAATTATTGACTAGGCTACAAATATTACTGACAACTTTGAAGCCCTGTTCGAAGCAATTTTAGCATGTTTGATGTATACTCTACATTTCATATGCTTGTTAATATTTCTCTTAAAAGTTATCATGCATCCTTAACCTCAGAAGAGACTGCAATACACATCTGCTTGCAAAGACAGAGCTGATTAATTACTTGTCTTAACCAAATTTGTGTTTTATATGTTTTTTACATATTTAAGTTTCATTTAATTTGTGCAAATACCTCTCTGCAGTCCAAGTTGAGATTCTGTCCTCCAACCTCCAGCTTGAGAATTTCAACCTGATAGTACCACTCCTCTTTGATAGGTGTATACCAAATATTACCCGTGTACAGACTTGGTTCAATTCCACCTAGCACCTGAGGAAAAAAGAGAAGGGAATATACATGCTTTAAAATCCAGGATGTTTAGCCCTGGGTCAAGTATAAAAAATATATTTAAAAAAAATCTAACTGAAATGCACAGGGCTTCAAAATGTTAATTTAGCACCATTTGTAAGGGTTTTGCTGACAAGTGCTATAAATTTTTAATCAATAATAAAGT